GTTCAATCCAACTCCATCTACAAATCGACCTTTATTTTTGTTTCACTCTTTCCCTCTTTGTCTAGGGTTTTTGCTTAACACTTAAGGAGGCTGGGTCCGTGTGCACCTGGGTGTACCATGTCGGAGACCGTGATGCTTAGGGATGTTGATGGTTCGAAAACGGACGGGCGAGATCAGGCCAAGAAGGCCCCCAAGCGAAAGAGAGAAACATCAGCGTTAATCTCTGTGACTTCCGACCAAAAAGAGTCTCAGATCAAGGCCTTGAACGAGGAAGTCCAGGGTCTTTTTCGGTTCTACCGAGAAATGTTGGATGAAAAACCAGTTTTAGAATCAGTTTCTTCGACTTCGAGGATATTGGCGTTGATGGAGGAGAAGAGTCTGCCATTTGAGAAGCTGGTGGAAGAGATACACGGGAAGGTGAAGGAGAAGGAGGAGATGGAGAACGTGACGATGGCGATGGTTAGGAGTGCGGTTCTCTCATCGGGACGGAGAGTCATGTACGGAGTTCCCAATGCGGATGCAGATATTTTGAATGACGATACTGAATCTTGCCTCTGGTGCTGGGAGGTGATGATCTTGCTTTTTCCTCCGTCGGTTTTTGGTTTATTGTATTTTATCACTGTTGAATGATGGTTGTTGATTACTAGGTAACAAATCTATAATTTTGTGTAGAATTTGTAACAAATTTGCACTTATTTGTAAGTTCATAGTTAGTCTAAAGTATAGTATGACGAGACTCGTAATTAAAAATGTCGAATTCATAGGAATTTACAAAATCGCATACTTGAATTAAGTGTGAGTTTACAAATTAATTCCTTAAAATTTCTGTATTTATTCCAACATAGCCAAGTGGTGATTTATTTTTTAATTCGTGGGATGGGCTTGTTATATTTTGTATATTTTTTTTTTGTTGCTTAAATAATGGGAATGCCTTTTAATTAGAGGATTTGACAAAGGTTTAACTACTGATTCTTTAATGTGTCTCCTCTCTAATTTTGGAAAAAAATGGTGAATCTAGTTATTCAATGACTCCCTCTTTTTCGTAAAATTCTTCCTTTTTTGTTTGATATGAATAGGAAAATATTCTGTTAGTGATTCAGTGTCGGTCAATATGTTTTTATGTAATAACTGCTTTCAGTTAAGTATTTAATCTGGCAGGTTAGTGTGCATTCAATGAAAATATAGTTCCCTACCATAGAGCTACTATGGGTTTTTTTTTGTCGGTGTTCTTTTGCTCCTTAATTGCTTTCAGTTATTCCTTCAGTATTGAGCATGAATTTAGGTAATTCTTCTGGACGCCTATTCTAGTGTCAATCTCATCTCATCTTCTCCCTCTGTAATGTCTAGAGGTTCATGTCATCAGTCTCTTGGTTTGTCCTAGGTGTGAAATAATGTGATTGAGACTCCTGATTTTTCAAATTATCTTATCTGGAAATCTTTGTCTCTACTATCAATATAGTCTTCTTGAACATTGAAGGACGGCTCGGTACTCTCTGGAAACAGGTTGGCTCTCTGGAATCAAGCTACCGTTTCCCCTCACATCTTGAGGAGTCTTTTCAAACCTAACATACTCCTTTTGCTCTTCAAGCCTGGTTAACAATTTATCACTCATTCTCAATCAAATACTCATCTTATTCACAATAGAAATGAAAAAGATTTACAATTTATTCCTATCTCTTCAAACTCAAAACTGTTGGACTATACTTTCTGATCTCTCTAAGGATACTTGGTTCTTCTGATCTTTAAGGGGCTTCCACTACTACTACGAGGGTGGCTATTAATCTAAGCTCTAAGAAATCACCTGGACTATTCTCTCTAGATGGGAAGTCTGCTTATGGAAACATCTCTATTGACAGGAAATCATTTATCTGATTGCAGCAAACAGCTCCTTGACCTTTCCTTGCTTTAAATACTGTTTTTCTTCCAAATGCAAAACTCATCCATAACAACCTTGTTCATCATCCATATTACTCCTGAAATTCTTATTCTCTCGCTCTCTAGGGGGTTGTACTGAAGTAACTAACATAATTCTCAGAAACAAGGTCAGTGGCCATTAACCAATTGTTCAGATTGGCCTTTCTCTTCACTTAGGATAAATTGAGTTTGATATTCATTTTGCATGAGAAAGTTTGCTTCTGGAAGATTTGTCATATGCTTTATCACTAGTTGGGAACAATTTTCAGGTTTTTTTTGGGTTGTCAGCTTCTTGAGTTCTATGCTCATTGTAATTCTGTCACCCCAAAAGGGATGATATTCGCTTAGTAGTTCAGTGAACAGCAATATGTAAAGTGATGGTTAGCATAGAGCAAACCTTGTTAGTAATATACTGGGCCATAAATTTTTAAACGCAATTTGTCATCTTTTTACCTAATACTTTTAATTAGCTTGTGTACTTGCTTTTAGACAACTGACTTAAAGTTGCTGCCAAACTCTGCACGAGGAGTACTGAAAATTCGGCGTGCCTGCCGCAAGAAGATCCGTGAGAGGATTGTTGCTGTCTCTGGTTCGTATGAATTCAGTAATTAATATGGTTGCTTTCAGGTTTTCGTGTTTATCATGCTATACTTTATAGTTTCTGCTGGGA